GGAAAGCCTCCAGGGGATTTAAACCGGGGAATGACCCAAATGTCCTACAATGGCTTAACTGTTAAACATGCCACCAGTGAAACAGCCAAAACCTGGGGATGACCCAAATGTCCTATGATGGGTTAACTACTAAACAAACTGTGGTATATCCATACCATGGGATGCCACTCAGCAATTAAACAGAAATAAACTATTGGTGCATGAAACAACTTAAGTGGATTTCGAGGGAATTATGCTGTGGGAAGAAGCTAGTTTCAAGAGGGAATGTCCAGCATGATGGTGGGGAGATGGCCAGAGGAGACAGCTATGTGCCAGGTTGGAAGAAGACCAGTCCAGATTGCCACAGGTCAGAAAGATCCAGAAGATAATTTTTCAAAGAAGTTGAAATCCATAGAATACCTGAAATGTCCAAATATTAAAAAAATAATAATTATTATTAGAGACATTTTCAAACATACACAAAAAGATAGAATAGTATAATTGTCCCCAATGTACCCTCCCCTGTTTCAGTATTTATCAATAGGCTACCATTTTTGTTTCCACTATGTCCCTCTTTGTTTTTGATGAAATATTTTAAAAAGCAGATTGTGGACATAATCATTTTACTACAAATCCCTAAGTATGTATCTGACAAAGATGGACGTTTTATCTTTTAGAACATAACCACACTACCATTATCATAGCCAAGCAAAATTAAAAATATTTAAAGATACCAAATCTGATTTTAATTTTTCTGGTTCTCTTAATTTTGTCTTTGCTTTGTTGGAATCAGGATCTTGACAAGGTCCATACCCAGTGTTTGACTGATATGTTTCCTGCATTTCTGTCCCCCTTTTTGCTGTTTATTTGTTGAAGAAACTGAGTCAGATGTTCCCAGAATCTGAATTTAACTGATTGTGTTTTTATAATGTGGAGCGTGTTTCTTTACCTCTTACTGTGGGTTAGTGTTTAAATCTCAGCACTTGATTAGATTCAACTTCAAATTTTTGGCAAGAATGTATCTTAGGTGGTGCTGTGTATTTCTTATTACCTCATGTTGCAGGCATCTTGATAATCACTTTTGGGTGTGTTGAGATTGATCAGTGAATTTGGGTATTGTTAATTTAATCCATCCACTAAAAAAGGACCCCCTCAACTTTTCATCTAATGATTTAGCAATCCTTGATAATTATTTTCTAATTCTTTATTTCATTGGTCTTTATTTCATTCTGCTGAGGGAAGAATCATGAAATGATTGTTGTCTTAAGTCAGTTCTGTAGTGGTCTGTAACCTGGCAATGCATAACTGATAACGCAGGTACTAGAGATGAAACAAGATTACCAAATACTGGTTATTGTTGAAGCTAGTTGTGATATCAGGTTTATTTTATTACTCTCTATGCTCTTTGCATGTATTTGATTTTTTTGTGATAAAAAGTTAAGAAGAAAATACTGAATTTAAATATCACTTGATATAATTTGTAGTTAAATCCATTTAGTTTCCTTTCCATATTTATGAATTGCACCTTTTCTTCTAGTATATTTAATTTTGTTTTTTGGTTTTAAAAAATATTTATATTGATTCAAAGTTAAAAATGTGGCATGTTCAGAAAGGCCTAGTTTCTGTCCCTTTCCCCTTTCTCCCATTCTTTCTCTCTTCATAGGTATCCACTTAAATTAGTTTTCACTTGAATATTTTGGAAGGCATTTTAGAGAGTTGTTAGTGAATTTGTAGTTAAATTTGTGATATATACCTAGAAAATAAAGTAAATGAGAAGAAGAATAAGACAGTTATTAATTTCTAGAAAAATGAAATCGTGTTCAGGAAAGGAAACAACCATATTTTCATATTTGCTATTCGTGAATAGCATGCTTTCTGTTGTATTAGCATAAACAGTAATGATTGATCTAACTAAAATTGTGATCCTACTGTATTGGCAGTATGTGGAAACTGAAAGTTCTTTGTATGTGGGGAGAGGTGACGAAAAAAGCTAAATTCTCATCTTTCCTATTGGTAAGTGAATAGATGACCTATAAATTTGGAAAATCAAGAAGTAGCAGTATAGACATACAATTTAGAGATATAATAGTCAATACCAAAAGAATAAGCTAAGAAATAAATGTCATCATCTCTGCACGGAAGGGAGGTAAGGCCTATTGTTTTTTCTTAACAAGTCTTGTGATTCATGAAAAAAATTAAGTAAGCAAAAAATTGACAAAAAATAAGAGGCGACATAACATGAAACAATTTAACATTAATAATAATAATAGTTTTTATTTATCAAGCACTTCCTACGTGCCAAGTACTATGCTAAGTGTTGAACGTGGATTATCTCTGAATCCTTACTTCAGTTGTATTAGATAGACTCTTTTTTTATGCCTATAACCACATGAGAGAATTAATGCTTTGAGAGTATATTAGCTCTTTACTGCTGCATGATGAATTACAGCAAAAGTTATCCTCTGGAAACAACAGACGTTATTACTTCATAGTTTCTGTGGGTCCTTGAGCAACTTGGCTGGGTAGTTCTGACCCAGTCTTATGGGGCTGCCTTCAAGGTGTCAGCCAGGGCTACTGTCACTTCAGTTAAAACTCTGGAGAGAAGCTTCCAGGCTCATGCCTTGGACCTCTTCAAAGGGTTACCTCAGGACCTAGCAGTCGGCTTCTCTGAAAGCAGGTGCTCCAGAAGAACCCCGAGTTGGAAGCCATGTGTCTTTTTACAACCTGGTCTTGACAATGTCATCATCTTCTGTCAGAAGCAGGTCAGTAAGTCTAGACCACACTCAAGGGGAGGGCGTGAATTCCAAGAGGTGCTGATGAGTTATCTTAAAGGTTACCAGGTGTGTTATCAGATGTGTGACACACACCTTGGTGTGTTATCAGGTTTAGGCCAGTAGAAATAATCTATATGTTATGCTCAATATGCAGGGCGGAAACTGACCCTCCCATGGACCCACAGCTTCAGAAACGGTGTATGACTGCAAGGGAGAATTACATGAGTTCAAGGATCACCTTGAATTCACTCTAATTTATACAAAGTCAAAGCCTCTCAAGCTTTAGAACTTTATTTGTAATGAATTATTTGAAGCACCCCTCACACTTGATCATGTCAAACTATAGCTTCATATTCCTGGGCTGGGACATTAGTCACAGGGTCATGGTAGTTAAGGTGAGGAGTTAGTGCTCTATCTTTAAAACTGTTAGGAGCCACTGAAGTGTTTTCAACACAGGAAGATGACATAATATTGGATGCGTACCTGCTGCTCTGAGCTACATTATTTTGTCTCAAGCATTAGACGACATTCTACTTTCTCGTGTGAAGCAGCAGATCCTCCTTTCCACCCTACCAAATTCGTTCATGTGGGTGTAATGAGATTTATAAATTTCTCTTACCTTCAGACTGTTCAAAGTATCCCATCTCAGGACAGTTGTGTCTGCCTCTCTCTGAGCACATAAAGGTCTTTTTGGCTGTAACCAGGCTGCCAGCTTTCTAAGGCACAGACTCATTGCCACATCCTTGGTCTGTTGTTCAGTGGCCACCACACTGTTGACACATATGAGGAACTCAATAAATGCTTGTTAAGTCAAAATGGACTAAACTTGATTGGGCACCTACTATATGATAGTTATTGTGCTGAGTTCTGGGTATATAGAAATAAGACCATGTCATTTGACTTTATAAATGAAAAGTCATGACTGTATATTCAATTTTACATTCACTAATCAAACATTTTCTTATTGAGGTATAGTTAATGTACAATGTTGTGTTAGTTTCAAGTGTACAAAAAAGGGATCCAGATATATGTATATATATATATATATATATATATAAATATAATTTTTCAGATTTTTTTCCCTTATAGATTATTACAAAATATTGAGTATAGTTCCCTGTGCTCTACAGTAGGTCCTTGTTGGTTATCTATTTTATATTTAGCAGTGTGTACATGTTAATCCCAAACTCCTAATTCATCCCTCTGCCTCACCCTTTCCCCTTTGGTAACCATAAATTTGTTTTCTCTGTCTGTGAGTCTGTTTTTGTTTTGCAAATAAGTTCATTTGTACATTTTTTTAGGTTCCATATATAAGTGATATCATATGATATTTGTCTTTCTCTATCTGGCTTACTTCGCCTAGTATGATAATCTCTAGGTCCATCCATGGTCCTGCAAATGGCATTATTTTATTCTTTTTAATGGCTGAGTAATATTCCATTGTATATATAAAAAAGTATATATATATATATATATATATATATATAAAACATCTTCTTTATCCATTCCTCTGTTGATGGACATTTATGTTGCTTCCATGACCTGGCTATTGTAAACAGCACTGCAATGAACATTGGGGTGCATGTATCTTTTTGAATTAGAGTTTTCTCCAGATATATGCCCAGGAGTGGGATTGCTGGATCATATGGTAGCTCTATTTTTAGTTTTTTAAGGCACCTCCATACTGTTCACCTTAGTGACTGCACCAATTTACATTCCCACCAACAGTTTAATAAGAGGGTTCCTTTTTCTCCACTCCCACTCCAGCATTTATTATTTGTACATTTTTAACTTTTGATCTCCCACTGTGAGTGTGGCATTCTGCTAGATGCTGGAACACAGCCTCAAACTACACACTGCCACCACTCTTAAAGATTCTGTAACTATTGCAGGAGACAGAACAGTGTATGATGCCCTAGCTTCACAACTGTGCAAGTGCAGGGGAAGGACAAACACATCAGCATAGGGAAGGGCTGTTTAAGAGGGAGGGGGAGATGTAAACTCGGAGTTTTGGAGGATGTAAACTCGGAGTTGTTTAGAAGAATGAACATTAGGATGAATGGAGGATGCAAGCCCATCAAACATTGGGGCACTAGTTTGTTAAGGCTCGGGGAGAAAGTTGAGGTTATAGGAGAAAGGAAAGAAATCACAATTGAAAGTAAATATAATAAGTAGCAGTTACTGATCCTCCAAAGGATATGTAGAGCCAAGCCAAGTTTCTTCTCTGCTGCCTTTGTGTCTTTCCAGCCCTCTACGAGCAATCCTGTGAGGTGTACAGACACCAAGGCAACACAGCTGGTTTCTTCTACATCGACTCAGATGGCAGTGGGACCCTGGGACCCTTCCAAGTGTACTGCAACATCACAGGTAAGGGTGCAGAATTCCTACTCACGCTTCATGTCACTATGTGATGCAAAGGGAAATCCACTGGAAGGGGACACTTGCATAAATAAAAATTTGAAGGACCAACTTCAGGGGGGAAATGGTATTTAGGTAAATAATAGGATTTAGCAGCTAGGTTATTTTCATGAGAGAAGAAAACCTGTTAATGGTCTTGACAACGTTTCACTGAACCAAGAATTAAATATCAAGCATTTTCTGCAGAGCTGAACAAGGTCATGTCTCTCTTAAAATTCAAAAACAGAAAGAGAAGGAAAATAACCCAACAGACAAAAAAAACAAAAGTTAATATCAATAGAAAGCCCTGATTCAGGAAGTGGGAAAGCTTGATTCAGGTCTGGCTCTGAGGACCGTGTGACTCCGAGGGTCACTGTGAGCTTCAGTTCTGCATCAGTGAAATGGAAATAGTAGTTTCTGCCTCTTAGAGTTGTGAGGATGAAACAAAATCATCTGTATTGCTGAAACTAGCCAGGGTAGTTATCCCGCAGATGCCTAACCAAAACACTGAGCTATTTCTATTTTCCCTGGCTATCTCATAATATCTTGCCATTTTTTTCTAAAGTGTCTATGGATGTATTAAAAGCCAGTTATTACATGGGTTTAGAAGCAGCATGTGATCACTAATTTATTCTTAAAAAAATAATTCCACACCCCAAACCTGATGTAATATTTATTTAAAAATATAGCAATGCAAGCACTCCCTCTGTTTAGAATGTCAGTTGGCATATACACATTTTTTGTTTGTTTGTTTTGAGCACTGGCCTTCGGAGGCACCAGCAGAATCATGTAATAAAGAAGAAAAGTAGGAATCTATTAAGGCCCTTTGAGTCCTCAGGCCCCAGACTTCGCTGCTACAGGGCGCCACATCTGTGGAGGTCTGTCTATAGTCAGACACTGTCCTGGCCACAAAGGATATGCAGAGAAATAAGGCATAGTCATTGTCATTCATGAGGCAGTAAAATAAGGAAAAATAGCATGCAGTATCGCAGGTAGAAATGCAAGCAAGCCATTGCCAAAATGGTGATTGAGGACATTTAGCAGTAATTTGCCCATCTGAATACAAAACGCCACAGGTTTTCTGCAGAAAATGCTAGTTACATGGAACTGGATGCCATTTCATTTCATTTCCATCATACTTCATCTCTTCAAAATGTATGCTAGCTGCTTCTCAATAGCCCTATAACATAATTAGAAATTGTGTTACTGTTTTCTTTTCACGGTTGTGCCAGCCTATAATGTTCAACAACCTGGTCAAGAAGTAGGCTTCTCCGTGGATCTTGGTTATTTTCAAAATTAATTAACATATGGCTCTCTGGGGAATCATGCTAAAAATAGACTTTGCAGACCCAGAAATTCTAAATTCAGTAAATGTACTTCTATTGAGCTTTCCAAATGATTCTGATGCAATTTGTCCCCAGTCCGCAATTTACAAAAAAAGGAGGAAGTGTTTTGCTTGCAGAAGAAGGCAAAGGAGATCAGTGCCTGTTGAGTGATGGGTGTGACAAATAATAAGAGGATTTGTGGTAATGGCATCAATGACTCAGCTCCTGCCATCTTTGGGAACTGAACTGAGAGTTTACAAATATCATCTCTTTTAATTCTTGGCAACAAAAATATGAGGTGGATATTTTAAACTCTATCTTACATAGAAGGAAAGAGCACATGAGAATTTCATGACTTGCTTGAGATAATAAATCCTGGGACTAATAGTCAAGACTCAGGAAGCAAACAAGACCTTCTGGTACAGCAATAATCTATATCACTAAAACATTAATTGGATACTTTGTATTGCTTATGTTTTGCTTGAAGCCATGCTTTTATTTTGTTATAAAAATAATCAATACTAATTATGGAAACTTTAAGGAAAAGAAGAAAAGTGTGAAGAAATGTTAAAGTCACCTATAAACCCCAATCCAGGGATTGCTATTGATATTTTATTGTTAGAATTTCCTTGGGACTTTTTGCTATGAATGCATATGTGTGTTTTTCTATGAATGTATATGTTCTTAAATGTATATTTTTACACCATGCATTTAAGAGACAAGCATAGACATCCTATTTATATTAAAACATATAGTTTGAAATTAAAATACATACATTAAATATAGCTTGACAAATTTAACTCTCCAAAATAATGTAAGTAGAATGACACTGATTCATAGATCTCATTTACATGAAATGCTCTGCCTCTCTTTGGAAAGACTTCTCTCGGGATTTATGTTTGATATTTTGTCCAGGAATGGCTAAAGATGAATGTTTATGTATATTAAATGTTGCCCTTTTGCTGATGTGATGCTGAAGGCATCAGGACCTCTGAGTTATGTCCCAAAATTGATAGGGTGCGTTGTGCACGATTGGGGATTTCTTTGAAATATGCTTTTCTGGTCACATGCAATTGCAAACTATATAGGTGTTTGGTTTTGTTTTTGTTTTCCTAAAATACCTGTAAAAGTAAAAGCAAACTTCTGTGTAGGCGAATTATATCCATATTTAACTGACAAACATTTTTAATGCCTAAATATAACAATAATGAAATACATAATTTTTTATTTGTCAGTAGTAACTGTTCTTAAATGTGAGTGACTTACGACACTAGGAAAAGTGTGACAAAGTAGTCCAGGGAAGAGAGGAAGGGGGAGGGAGAGGAGGAGGGAGGGAGGAGAAGGGGGAACGGAAGGAGGGAGGAAATGGCCAGAGAAGACTTGCTGTGTGTTTAACTCCGGTTTCTAAGAGCACAAAGCCACTGGTCTCTGCACTTTACAGAGGTATTCCTGGGGCATAACACAGAGAGTGTAAACCAAGCTGGGACGTAGGGAACCTGGACTGTCTCTCTTACTGCTCTTTGTGCCAGTCGGCTGGGTGCTCCCAGCCTGGCTGTGCATCTCAAAAATAAGGATCTGGAGCTAAGTGGTCCCTCAGGCCTCCCTCATTTAGAACTCCCTGAGAGACCATTTGAGGTTCCAAAGAAAAGGAGAAGGTTCCCCTAAGTCTGCAGATACTTGCAAATGGATGTCATGAGGGTAAAGGGCGGGTTTTAGTTGTGGAAAACTGTAAATATGAATCCCAGCTGCCTCGCATCTTCTCTTTACAGTTACTCTGGGGGTAGTTCCTCATTTCTATAGGTTACTCTTGCCCCTCCCTGGAGATTTAAGTCTGTGCATCTTATCTACCACGGGGTGATCCTGGGGATATGAGGGCCACGAGTGCTCAAGGAGCAACTGCCCTCTTTGGTGTAAGGCAGTGTGATCTCTGCATGGGGACAGTAGGACAAATTATAGGAGTAACTTAGGCTTATCGATTAGGCTTATCGGTAAAGTGGACTGAATCTAGGGTTCTACAGATTTCGACAGGGTGCCATAACCCAGGCTGCATTCTGACACTAGGGGGTAGGAGAGAAGTATGAGAAAGATAGAGTTAAGTTTCTTCAGGAATACACACTTGGCCTACATTTAACATATCTCTAAATGATGTACAATTCATTTCAGCTCAGTGTAAGTTTGCACATTTCAGGCACTGCACAAACTGCAAGTGTACACAGTCATGTCTGTCTTAGTCTCTTTGGGCTGGTCTAGCAACATTCCACAAATTGAGTGGCTTCCAAAACCCCAGGAGTATATTGTCTCACAGTTCTTGAGGGTAGAAGACCAAAATCAAGGTGCCAGCAGGGCCACAACCCCTCTGAAACCTGTAGGGGAGTCTCCTTCCTGGCCTCTCCCTAGCATCTGGCAGTTTGCTTGACCCGTGGGTGCTCCTGGGCTCCTAGAAGCAGCCCCTCAATCTCTGCATCCCTGGGACTGTCTCCCTGCTTCTGTGTGATTACATCATAGTGATATTTTTCCCTCACATGTCTGTGTGTCTGTTTCCTCTTTTCTTATAAGGACACCAGTCATATCAGCTTAGGGTCCAACCTAATGGAGTATGACATTATCTTAATTTGATTACATGTGTGAAGAATCTATTTCCCATTAAGGCCTTGCACATTCACAGGTACAGAGTGTTAGGTCTTTAAGCGATCATTTTGGCAGACACAATTCAACACATAACAGTATTATTTCAGTCTCCTCCACAGGCTAATCATAGAAAAGACACAGCAACAATTAAAATGTCTTCACAAGGATAGCGCATGTGTAGTGTGTGTTGAGAGCCCACAAGAGGGGCACCTAACCCAGACACTCGTGGAAGGGCTATCAGGCAGGCAGGAAACATCTCTAAGAATTGGATGGAGGGTAGGAACTGGCCAGAAGAAGACACAAAGGAAGGCTTTTCAAGGAAGAGCAAATGAATGTCAGGAACAAGGTTCCAGGGTCCCTTGATCCTGCACATTTGTGGGGACCACCCAACTCACCAGGATGAATTGCTAGTTTAGAACACTGAAAAATGCATGTACCTGAATGACTAGAAAGTAAAAGGATCACAGTGACTTGATTAGGGACAAGCAGAAGTTTCTGAAGATCCATAATCTGAACTATAGTTTCCCAGCAAGGAAATCGGCTATCTTGATTCCAGGGAAAAGAATTATTTTTTTCAATTTAATTTAATTTTTACTTTATATTGGAGTGCAGTTGATTTACAATGTTGTGTTAATTTCAGGTGTACAACAAAGTGATAAATATACATATATCCATTCTTTTTCAGATTCTTTTCCCATACAGGTTATTACAGAATGAGTAGAGTTCCCTGTGCTATACAGTAAGACCTCGTTGGTTATCTATTTTATATATAGTAGTGTGTATACGTTAATCCCAAACTCCAGTTTTTATCAGATCATTCTTGAGCATGCCAGACTATTTAGCTGACCCTGAAGGAAAGATGAGCAACTTTCTGAGTACCAATAACAAGCCACCATCCTCAGGTTATACACGGTCTTTAGCACTGTTCCCCTCTCTGGAGGACTGGATCTGACTTACATTAGGGACTGTTTACAAAGGGATGAATGTACAAGGAGAAATTATGGGAATATACTGTAC